GGATCCCCTCCAAAATCACCCAAATTTTTATTACATTTTCTGATACATATTGATGCACTTATGCTGTGTAGAAAGTTTGAGTTGATTCCGACTTCAACTTTTCGAGTTACAGCCATTTTAAAAATGAGCCAAAATCTGAAAAATACCCAAGGCTATAGCCCATGGTTTTTTCAAAAAAATGGCTCCAAAATCACCCCCAATTTTTATTACATTTTCTGATATATATTGATGTACTTATACTACGTAGAAAGTTTGAGCTGATTCTGACTTCAACTTTTCGAGTTACGGCCATTTTAAAAAACCAAAAACACAATAGTATTCCACACTTACTCGTCCAGTTTTCCTCATTGCTTTTATTTCACGAGGCGACAGCTGCTTTATCTGTCCACTGCTCTTTGCCAATCTCTCCGACCGAGGTACCCCGTCCTCAGAATAATCTGGACGCGATATATGACTAGGAACACTCCTGGTCGGGGTCTAAATGGGCGGGGCAGTAAAGGATTAATTTGATTGGTCGATGTGTAGTCACATGACTTACAACAGGTGCGGGTCTGAGTGGTCCGGTGAATTTAAACGAAGGCCATGGATTATAAGAGCTCGTCTTCTTGTGTACAAGCTTATGTGTCCCCCAAAAACCTTTGAAACAATCCTAATGAATTATAAAGTAGAATGTAGCGACATAACACAAATTACACTCAGCATTTTTCAATTACTTGCGAGCAGAAGAAGCTTCCAGCAATACTTAGTTTAATACAAGTGGGGCACTGTAGTGCGGCTGGTTTATCACATCCTTCAGTTTGACAGAATTGCTCTTCAGTCTCAGCTTTCTCTTCAATTTTTTTAGTTTTTGAGTCTTCTTCTACCACACCGTTATCGGCCATTTTGATTTGGGCGTGTCTAACCACGCCTAGGTCAATAAATTAATTAGTAGTTATTAAAATTAATTTTATTAATAATCAATATAATAATCAACACAATAATAAGTATAAATAGTAAGAATCAGAGTTGATTACAAGTATCAATATGCATTAATAAACACTCGAGAGTCAACTTGCAACAGGAACGAGTTGCTAGGCAACGCATTTTGAGCGTGGCAAGATGGGCGGGAAGTACCGCAGAAGTAACTAACGTCAGATAACGTAATCCTTTAAATAGAACAGGCACATTAGTAGGTAGTTCGTCTTTAACACTAAATGTCAGCTGGTTTGGTATTGGCAATGGGTGGCAAACAGCTGGTTCTATACTTTGTAAAATATTCGAACTATTCTCAATCACTGAAGGAACAACACCTAGCAAGCTGTCATCTTTCTTCATCCATTCTCTCGTAGTAACTAGGTATTCTTTAAGCTCCCCGCTCTTCCAAAGACTGAGGTTGTCGGCTAGTAGTTTCTTGGGGTACTCAGTGAGAGAAGGTTTCACTTCTCCCCACTCTAAGTCTTGTAGCCATTG